TGCTGGCAGCTGGAAGCAGGATTCCCTCGCAGATGTTATCAGACAAATGAGGAACACAGTCTTTTATACAGTTTCCTTAGTATTAATGGGTTATATTTGGAGGTAACTTTACTCAGCAATTGTTTGTTTTTTCTTGATGCTTTACTCAATATAAGCTACTGTAACAGGGAACCTGAGACCTATTACTAGGAAGCACAGCAGCTCCTGTAAGAACAGAACTTTCAGGGCACAGCTGGCCAGCAGAGCCAGGGTTAAAAGCTGAGCCTGGTCAGCTGGTCAGATGATTGGGGCATCAGGTGACAAGAAGAGAGCTCAGGGGAGAGCTGGTCTGAGCTGGACAGGAGGTGGCTGGCTGAGGGTGGACTCTTGAGAACTCCCAAAGAAGCTGCAGGAGCTCTTCAAGGGAGAGCAGCAGACGGTGGAGCACAGAAACAGAGCCATGCAACTGTAGGCAGGCAGATTGCCTTCTTTACCTTTATTTTGTTATAGCCCAGGGGCTTGCTGTTTAGGTTTCATTTGTAAACCGGTGGCTTGTGGCTGAGGCTGTAGTGTCCATGGGGTGCAGCTGCAGAGTGGCTGGAGAGTCCAGCACCAGAGGGGCGCAGCAGACAAGGGCCAGGGGCCTGGCTGGGGGCTAGGGCCTTAAAGCCGGGCCTGATGCAGTAGGATATCAATGGGCTCTGCTGAAGGTGGCTTATGAACTGCCTATGAACGGACATTCGGGGAGGGACACAATGGAGGCCTGCCTTCAGGAAAGGGTTTTTTTGGCAAGGATTATTCCAGGAAGTAAAGAATTCTTGTGTGTCCTGCCCAGTGTGTCAAAAGATGGCCCCCAATTGTCCACCCAGGGCCCCTTTAGTATTGCTACCTCTAGTGAAGGTTCCCTTCGTGTGGGTGGCCGTAGACATCATGAGACCGCTACTCAGAAACAATGTGGGACATCAATATATTCTAGTCTTAATGGATTATGCAGCCAGATACCCTGAGGCTGTGCCCAGGTGAACTGAGGCTGCCCCAAAAGTAGCAGAAGAACTGTTGAAAATATTTTCCAGGGTGGGAATCCCCAAAGAACTACTGACAGATCAGGGGACAAATGTTATGTCCCGGGTGCTTGAGGGAGTAATTGAGACATTGGGAACACATAAAGACCTCAGTGTATCCCCAAGCTGATGGGTTAGTCAAGCGTTTTAACAGGACACTAAAACAAATGCTAAAGAAATTTGTGGGGGAAAACCCACAGAAGTGGGACCAGATATTACTGCCATTATTGTTTGCAGTGAGAGAGGCTCCGCAGGCCTCAACAGGGCTCTCTCCCTTCGAACTTCTATATGAATGTCAACCTCGAGCTATCCTGGATTTGATTAAGGAAGGCTGGGAGGAGTAAAAAACTAAAGATAAAAATCTGATTCAATATGTGATACAGTTGAGAGAATGACTTGAAATGGCACGGGGAGAAGCCTTGGAGAACCTGCAAGTAGCCCAAAGATGACAAGTAACCCACTACAACCAGTGTGCTTGAGAAAGGAAATTCAAGACAGGGGAATTGAGTGTTAATACTGCTTCCTGATCAAGAGGCAAAGTTACTTGCTCAGTGGCACAGGCCCTATGAGATGGTATACCTCATAATCAACAGGTCCTACTTGATGCACAAACCCAACAGATGGAAGAAGAGGCAAGTGTATCACATCTACATGTTGAAACCGTGGCAAGAGCGAGAGGGCCTATGGTTAGCACTGTATCCTGAAGAACCCAAGTTTGGGCTGGCCCTTTCTGGGAGAAGATTATGGAGGGGGTGATGTGGAACTGGCCCCTTGGCTATCAGCAGAACAGCGATGACAAGAAACCGAGCTGATAGATGAATATGGGAAGGTGTTCCGAGACACGCCCAGGGTAGCTCGGGGCATAGTACACCAATAGAGACACCACCTGGCCAAGTGATCTGGGAGAACTGGAGGTGGATCCCCCAAAAACTCCAGAGTCAAATAAAAGAAGTAGTTGAGATGCTGCTGCAAAGGGGAATAATACAGGAATCTCACAGTGACTGGCGGAGCCTGATCCTTGTAGTCCCAAAGCCTGATGGGAAGCTCTGCCTATGTATTGATTTTCAAAAAGTGAATGCTGTGGCAAAGTTTGACGCTTATCCAATCCCAAGGGTGGATGAGATGATAGAGGACATCGGGCGAGCTGGTTATGTCTCCACTTTGGACCTCACAAAAGGCTATTGGCAGGTCCCGCTAGCACCAGAAGACCAGGAGAAGACAGCATTTGCTACACCTTGGGGTTTGTTTCAGTTCCAGCTCATGCTGTTTGGGTTACACAGGGCTGCCGCGAACATCCAACAGTTGATGGATAGTCTTAGCTCCTCGTCGGGGCTACGTGGCGGCCTACATTGATGATACTGCGTACACTACAGACTGGGACAGACATTTAATAGCTCTTTGAGTATTACTGCAGGATCTGAAAAGGGCAGGGCTAACAGCCAACCTGAAAAAATTCATGAAGGGAAGGAAGAGACATGCTACATAGGGTTCCAAGTAGGGAGCAGCAAGATGCGACTGTTGCTGGACAAGATAGAAGCACTATGGAGGTATCAAGCACCACAGACAAAGAAGCAGATGAAAGCATTTTTAGGACTCGCGAATTACTATAGAAAATTTGTGCCTCACTTTGCAGAATTTACGGTGCCCTTAAGATAGCTAACCCAGATTGGGGCGCCAACCAAGGTATTGTGGACACCGAAGGCAGAAAGAGCATTTCGGGAAGTGAAAGAGGCTCTATGTCTACACCCACTGCTGTATACGCTGGATTTTGATAAAACCTTCACAGCAAAGACTGACGCATCGAACACTGCCATTGGAACAGTGCTAATGCAGGAGACTGGAGACGAAGAACACCCAGTAGCTTATATAAGCAGGAAGTTGCACCCCCCCTGAGAAGAATTATGCCACAATCAAGAAAGAGTGCCTGACAATCACATGGGCCATAGACATTATTTGTTAGAGCAAAATTCACGCTAATCACCAATCATGCAACACTGCGATGGCTACAGAACATGAAAACTAATAATCCGAGACTAATGGGGTGGTCCCTCAGTCTTCAACCATATTGTTTTGTGGTGAAGCATCGCCCAGGGACCAAGAATGCCAATGCTGACTTCTTCTCACGGCAATATGAGACAGAGGAAGGTGTACAGGAGCTGGATAAACCCCAGACAAAAGAGAAGAGAGTGGGGTATGTAACAGGGAATCTGAGCCCGGTTACTAGGAAGCATGACAGCTCCTTTAAGAACAGAACTTTCAGGGCATAGCAGGCCAGCAGAGCCAAGGTTAAAAGCTGAGCCTGGCTGGCTGGTGACTGGAAGAGAGCTCAGGACAGAGCTATATAAACCCTGGTCTGAGTTGGCCAGGGGCAGCTGGCTGAGAGGGTGGACTCTTGAGAACTCCCAGAGAAGCTGCAGAAGCTCTTCAGGAGAGAGCAGCAGATGGCGGGACACAGAGCAGAGGCAGAGCCATGGAACTGTAAGCAGGCAGATTGCCGCCTTTACCTTTATTTTGGTATAGCCTAGGGGCTTACTGTTTATGCTTCATTTGTATACTGGTGGTTTGTGGCTGAGGCTGTAGGGGAGGTGGAGGCCTCATTTAGTGTCCATGGGGTGCAGCTGCAGAGGGGCTGGAGAGCCCAGCACCAGAGGGGTGCAGCAGACCAGGGCCAGGGGTCCAGTTAGGGGCTGGGGCCTTAAAGCCGGGCCTGATACAGTAGGTCTGGGCTAAAGGGCCTAGCCATATAAAAAGGGGACGAGGCTGGGTAGGCCAAAGCCCCAACAGAGAGTGTAGGGGAATTGTATAGGGCCATGAGCCCAGAGCATACTAAAGGGCTAAAGCCTCAAAGTCTGGCCCTATCTAGTGGGTCTAGGCTGGTGAGCCTAGCTAGAGGGGCAGAAGCTGAGTAGGCTGAAGCCCCAATAGAGACATACAGATAACACCTGTGAGACATGGGGAACATAAAGGGGAGGTTGGAGCATGCAGTTAGCCTTTAAGGCAAAAGTCCCTCACCTTGATGAGTGAAAGCATAGATCTTGCCTGGGGCAGCCTCCTTTTCAAGAACCTAGGAACATCAAGTCATGGCAGGTGAGTGAAGGAGTATCTGTTCCCAGAGGAAAACTGAGATATCCAGGGATGTTGGGGTCCCTTCACAGGCTTTAAAATGCTGCTGAAGATGCTGCCCTGTTACACAATGTACATTTTAAAATCTTAAGGCTTAACCCTGGAAGACGCTGAACTCCTGGTGCAGTCGATGGAAATGCATGGGGGATCAGCATCTTGTAGGAGACACATGGCACATGGGATCCAGTTTTTAGGCTGTAAATAACTTACCAACTTATATGTCCCCAGCGAGGTATAAGATAACACAGACCACCTTGCATTTCACTTGCCAAACGTTTCTCACCCTATGGATAAGGCAGGGCAGATTCTCTATCATCAGCTTTGAAAAGGTGACACTTTGCAATTATTGAAGGAATACAAAACTAAAATATCAATGAATCTAGAACATCAGGTTTTGGTTTTTCATATGTGCAGTCTTGCAAACTATTAGAAAAGTGTACGGTCTCTTTCACTTAAGGTAGACATTTTCCCCTAACACTTGAAACAGAAAAGTGAAGGTCATCCTGAGCTTTAGCTTCCTCCCCGCCCCTCCCAGTACAGATCAAGTACTATCCTAAAATTCTTATTACTTTGGTAAAAATTATAAATAGAATAATCATATATTGTGAAATTTCACCAAAATCAGTTAAAAAATCTGGCTTTATAGAATGGGAAATGGAAGCATTATATTCATCCGCAGAACAGGTATTGTTGTGTAATACTTGCTGCTTGTTCCCGAGTGACCAGCTGTCATTTTGGGAAAGTACTGACTGTACTAACTTACAGATAAGCAGCCGCCATTTTTGCGTATCTTGTCACGCTATTGCCGTAACTGTTGGGCACTTCCTCAAACCCGGGGGGAGACCACCATATAAGGGAACGAACAGAATAATAGAAGCCAATTGGCTCACGGGGACACTGGCAATTGTGTCAGTCTTATAAAACAACCAAGGAATCCGGAAGAGAACACTCCGGAGTCCGAGACTAAACGAGCAGGGTGGAACCTGGCCAATTCTATCTCAGTCTCACGAATGCCCTCCGATATCCAAAACCCAGGGCGACCCCTCCGCATCCCGAACGAGTGATCTCTCCTAGGGGAGCGAATAACTGCAGTATCTGTAACAGCTTTAAGAGAACTGAGCCTCACTACCAACGTGAGTACAAAAATAAAACTTTTTTGCATTTCGCTTTGAGTGCCAAGGGACTCTACCTCTGTGTTATTACCTCCTCGTTCTCGCCCAGAGCGTTTAACTCCACCGCACGAGACATGGCGATGAGGATGGGATCCCTGAGATGAGAAGGGAAAGTACATGCAGACCCCTTAGTAAAGTATTGCCCGTGGGTGAACCATCAGCGGCCCCCGCCCACCGATGTGGACGGCCTGTGGGCCCACATTGCCTACCACCAGGTCGCACAGAATGGAAAGTTAGGGAGTTATTTGTCCATCCAGCCGACCGACACCCTCACACACCAGCCCGGGGCAGCTAAGGAATGGGTGGTGTCCAGGCTCAGTCCCGCTGCGCTTGGGTTTCTCCTGTCATGCCCCTCTGTCCTGTACCGGCCCCCCGACGTAGTGGCGGAGGTCGAACTTAGTCGAATTAAACCAATGAGTGGGGGTATCAATCATGCGCCCGAAAAATAATTTGCCCGGTGCATACAACACCTCAAGACAGGAGGAGGCTGTGATACCCTGCCCCCGACAAGTTTCGTTGTCCGGCTATCATTCCGGGAGGGGCCGAAAATGAAATATTGACTACCTTGAGGGAGAACCTAGAAGAGGAGGGCAAAAATTCCTCTAAGTGGGGCGGACAAAAGTGGGACAAAGGAAAAATGCTTAATGTCTTGTTTCGCTCGTTTTCCCCGCTAATGAGACACGCTGCGAATCAAGCGAATTTGATACAGACGCTCACGAAGATGGCTGCTGACCATGCCGCGATCGCACCTAAAGATGGCGCCGAGGTGGCAGCACAGGGGTGGGGAGAAGAAGAGGCGGAGACCGTGAGTAATAAAGATCCGTCCCCCTCACCACAGGAGGCGTTCCCTGTGGCGTCAGCCCCTCCCCTCAAGGCGGAAACCCCACCCTCCTATCCAGGTGCCTTCCCCCCGAATGAATGCCCATTCAACAAAAACGTGGGCATCGATATGGCTGCTCCCCCCATGCACGCCAACCCAGTCACCATCACCAAGACCTTAGTAGATCAAACGGGGAACACCCAGATTACTACTACATTTCGTACCCGCACAAGGGGGGGAACTACAAGACCTAGCAAAGGATACCAAAATTCAGCCAGGCGAGACCATCACCATCTGGACGGGACATTTAGTGTTGGAACACGGGTCCAAGATAGTTGACCCTGCGGAGTGTATGGCGCTTATGCGGCAGCCGGCTTGGAGTGGGGGGGCGTGTGCGGACACGGATAAGTTGGTCCGTAACCGGGCCTGGCCCATACCCCTGCCGGTGGTCACCATCCCAGTGCTCGTGGTCCGCGCCCACGCCTGGCATGCGGACCCGCCCCCTGCACCCACACCTACTCAACTCCTCTATGCTATAGCGAGAATTAGTTATTTGACTTGGGACGCCACCCGCAACCCTACAAACCTTACGCAGGCAGAAGCACAGAGTGAGTGGCCTCACCGCTTTTGCAGAGATCCGGCAAAAATCCCGGTATCTACCCCGGCCATAGAGTCATGTGTGGAGCTATATGGAGGTCTCCATGCCCTCCGACTTTTACTGAGCCCATTACTTGGAGATCTCATCGAAAATATTTTAAGCTCCCTAGGGAAACTGACAAGCGTCCAGTGAGGACAACCCGCACAAAAGGTCGCTGCTGCCACAACGCAATGGTCGAATACGTCGGACAAACCCCGCAAACCTTGGGACCCAGGACCACCGGAGCGATCTCCAGAAGAACGGGCCATGTTCGGGTTCCTCCTCAACAAAAGTGGCCTGACCAAGGCACAAATCCGCCATCTGGGAGACGTGGCCCAACGGGCCCTGGCGGAGAGACTGGGCTTTACGTTCTGGTCAGGGGATGCCCAAGAGGGAAAAAACGAGTAGCGGCTGCCAAGACGGGCTATGCCGGCCGCGATCCCCCAGATGACCACCCGTACGCCACTTTTAACTTGAGTGCAAGTTCTTCTTCTCACGCTATCCCCGTTCAGTTTCTCCTCGACACGGGCTCACAAGTTAACGTGCTACGCCCTGAGGTTTCCCACGTCTGCACCTCCAAAACTCTGTTCGTCAGGGGCCTTCACGCGACCTCAGCCACTACCGTGGTAAAATTTTTCATCGCACCCTATCCCCTCTACGCAGTCATGGGCGACCGTAACATCTTAGGCGTCCCGGCCATCAAAGCCCTGAAACTAAAGCACGCCATTTTTTTGGCCCTCCCGCTAACCATTACTCCAACTACGAAACATCAACCACAACTGAGCGTTCCTACAGCATGGCGTTACCAACCCATCCCCACACGGCCGGTGCTACAGCCCAAAGTTGACGCGCTACTACAGGGCTTAGAACAACAAGGGCGCATTCGGCCGGTCGATGCCTCGACCTACCTATCTGTGGGCTGGGGCATCCCCAAACCCAATAACCCAGACGATTGGTCGTCGCCTCTCGCCAAGCAACCCGCCGGTGTGTGCCGCCCCAGCTCCCGGCTTCGCACACGATTACGGAAATAATAGATGCTGTAACCGCCGTTCAGCGCGAGGGAGAGTGGTTCGCGACCACCATTGACTTAAAAGACATGTTTTATTCCATCCCTATAAGGGACCCACAAGGGACACTTAACATGTGTGTGGGGGGAAAGATGTACACCTGGGCGGTTTGCCCACAGGGGTACCGTAACGCCCCTGCGCTGGCCACTGCAGCCATGGGAGAGACATTGCGCACTTTTGAGCCCCAACGCCTGCCCCACACTCACATATGGTCCTATGTCGATGACATCATTGTCCTTAGTGCTGATCGCGCCAGCGTTCGGGCCACCACGGCCTGCCTTAATCAGCATCTACAAGACGCGGGATGGACTGTGAATGCGACAAAGTCCCACCTCGAGCCCACAATGGACGTCACATTTCTGGGGACTCGATTCTCCGGATCATTCCGTTGGGGAACCACACATGGAACGGACGTCCCTCCGTTGGATGTACACCCAAGCACCCTAAGGGATTTTCAGGCCCTGCTGGGCCGCTTAAACTGGTTTCGCAACTTTCTCACACCCGATCACCTTTCTCCCGTACAACGCTTACAACAACAAATCCGGAAAAAGACTCAATGTCGTTGTCCCTGGACACCCAAAGACCAACGCAACCTCGTTGCTTTACTAACCACAGTTCGAGAGACGAAGATTCAGGCCCCGCCAGTGACCGCGCGACTTGCGATCTCCATTGGATATACCACCGCTCACCTCTGGTTCACCGCTTCCGCCTCGGATCAAAAGCCTTTAGCTTTCGCGGGTCACAAAACCCTTCAATCACATCAACATCTGTACGGATGTCTGGAAAAGATTATGTTGGCCTCCCAAATGGACACTTAACCTCATCGCCGGGAACACTCCTTGGGCCCGGGGCGAGCCTGCTTACCTCCCTCGACCCCTTCTGACCCCATCAGGAGTTCCAGGGGACTCTTAAAACTTGGACTGGCCTCGTACTGCGACATCAGTATTACTGGTCCGGTTGGGTCCACTCTGACGCAGAAGGATTTCCCGACCCCACCGCTATAGACACACCCGCCAGGCCTATCTTATATGGTACAACAACTCCGGCCTGGATGGCGGCCGACGGTACCACTCGAGACGATGGCCGCTACGGATATTACTGCCAGCCATGCTACGATGTCCAAGTCATCTCATCAAATCTTGGTCCTAACTCGGCACAACAAAATGAATTACTCGCTTTCCATAGCGTTTTAGAACATTGTCTCAAACATCACAACGGCACCCTCCCAGTACCTGTTATAGCCATCGACTCCGAATATATTTACTGTATCGCCACGGGTGCCGTCGACCCCTCCGAGAATTTACTGCGTTGGGAGGACGTCTTCCATATTCTCAGCCGCTTTGTTGTCCTCCCCATGCTCAAGCATACCTGCTCACATTGACCCGACACCGACCCAATACATACCACCATGGACACGCTATTAGCAGCGAACTCTCAAAATGAGTTTATAGCAGCGTGGCCAAAGGATGTTCGAGCGGTTTTTACTGCTACTACAGACTATAACCCTTTCTTGTCCTGGCTTCATGAACATTGGGGTCACCCAGGGCCCTGAAAGGCCACGCACACTTGGCAGGCCCAAGCACCGACGGGACCCGCACCCTCACTTCAAGATTGGCAAGACATTTCACGGGCCTGTATAGCTTGTGCCCAAAATAAACCGCATCCACATTGGCACCAGCGGGGTACCTATGATCCCGCCCTCTTTTCCCCCGGAAAAACTTGGCAACTGGATCTCCTTGGACCCCTTCCAGGAGCCAAACCACCAAACAAGGCCCTCGCTATAGTGGACCTTGGTTCCCGACAGCTCCTTGTTCTTCCTACTTGTCGCTCAAATGCCCCTGCTATCATGACATGCCTCAATCATGCATTTGCCCGCTGGCAGGTGCCCCATGCCATTCACTCAGACAGCGGGCCCCCATTCACCTCTAAGGCACTAGACAACTTCGCCCGGGAATGCAACATACATAGCATTCTTTTTTTCTACCCTATTTTACGTGCAGCATTGATGAGTTCGGTTTGTCATGGCACAAAACTCATCCCTGATAAACCTCCACGAGCTTGGGAAGCGTATTCCTTTTCGGGCAACTGCGCACAGTTGTCCACTCCTGCTCTGCTGGGCCTGCTGTGGGCCTGCTCTGATGGCCGGTTATATACCGCCTTACCGGCCACCCTTACCAGCACCCAGTGTTTTCTCACCCACGTGGCGTTGTGTCCCCCCCTATATGCTAATACGCATTTACCCTACAGTATTTCTATTCGCCAACACCGAGCTGTTCGTGAACCCTATCAGCACCAAGCCACATGGAGCCAGCTGCCTTGGCAAAAACGTTTGTGGAAAGCCATCCAATGGGGCACGGAGTCCCTCATCCCCGGATACAGCACAACCAAAATCCACCTGGCTCTCGTGCAACTTATCGAACAAGTGGAGGAGCTTACGAATGTGACCCGCACAGCGATTCAGCTACTCAACCTGCAGCTACAAGCCACCTCCCAAATGACTGTCCAAAACCGTTTAGCAATAGACGCCATTCTTCTTCAACAAGGTGGACTTTGTCAATATCTTAATCTTTCCCGAGACCATTGTTGTCTTGCTATCCCCAATGTTTCCTTCCCCTTGTCATTGCAAGTCGACAAAATGAAGGAAATTGCGGCAAAGGTCAACCACCTCTCGGGCATAGGCCAAGGTTGGCTGTCCGACCTTTTCCGTTGGTTTGGGTGGGACACGTCATCATGGCTCATCAATATGCTGATGCCCCTCATCACACTTTTGTTACCTATTGCTGTTTTCCTCTGTTTTGGTTGTTGGATTTTACAGTATATCAAAACAAAACTAACCTCGCTTTCTGCTTTTGTATATACCCGCTTGCCAACGAGCCCCGATTTTATTGATCCCGATCCCATTGTCCTTGAACCCCTCTACGTCCAAATGTCCAACTGGTCAAGGGGGGATGTTGTGTAATACTTGCTGCTTGCTCCCGAGTGACCAGCTGTCATTTTGGGAAAGTACTGACTGTACTAACTTACAGATAAGCAGCCGCCATTTTGGGAAAGTACTGACTGTACTAACTCACAGATAAGCAGCCGCAGCCATTGCATATCTTGTCACGCTATTGCCGTAACTGTTGGGCACTTCCTTAAACTCGGGGGGAGACTCAAACCTGGGGGGAGACCACCATATAAGGGAACGAACAGAATAATAGAAGCCAATTGGCTCACGGGGACACTGGCAATTGTGTCAGTCTTATAAAACAACCAAGGAATCCGGAAGAGAACACTCCGGAGTCCGAGACTAAACGAGCAGGGTGGAATCTGGCCAATTCTATCTCAGTCTCGCGAACGCCCTCCGATATCCAAAACCCAGGGCGACCCCTCCGCATCCCGAACAAGTGATCTCTCCCAGGGGAGCGAATAACTGCAGTATCTGTAACAGCTTTAAGAGAACTGAGCCTCGCTACCAACGTGAGTACAAAAATAAAACTTTTTTGCATTTCACTTTGAGTGCCAAGGGACTCTGCCTCTGTGTTATTACCTCCTCGTTCTCGCCCAGAGCGTTTAACTCCACCACACGCGACAGGTATAACACATGTATTAATAACTATGGGGGGATAAGGATATATACTGTATATTAGGGGTTATGCTACAGATCTGCTCTCTAGCTTTCTGAAAAAACAATTCTTGCCACAATTTGCATGCAAAATTTTAAGTTAACTGCAGAAACAAAACTGAAAGAATACTCTTGGAGTGATTTTGCTCACAAATATCTGCTAATCCTTTTGGTCCACTCATACATGGAAAGCAGCCTGAGAATAAATCTTTAAATTTATTTTATACATTGTTCCTCACTGTACATTTTTTGGCTAATGCTGGTCCATGTGCAGTGCACTTGGGGCTGCCACTGAGTTGATGGTCCTATATGGTTTGACCTAACACATAATAATTAACAATGTAAAATCCTAGTGAAAAGAAGGCAATGTTTGACCTGCTGACTGTGGCAGAAGGCCACTTCTGTTTCTCCTCAAAAACTCTGCTCTGTGACAGTTTGGTTAAGATGGCTCCTGCAGAGTGTACACACCTTACCCTATCTCTTTAGGTAACCTGAGTGGGATACATTCCTGAGGGAGGGGGGAAACCTGTTCCCTCTGCCTACGTGACTGGCATTATAGACCTGGGTGAGGGGCTTGGATTCCCTGGGGAGCTAGGAACTGCCAGTCTGCCCAGCAACTAGTGACCTTATACACTTCATCCTCACACACAACAATTTCACTTTTAATAATCAACACTTCCTCCAGATGATGGGAACAGTTATGGGCACTAAAATGGCCCCACAGTATGCCAACCTTTTTATGAGCCACCTGGAAGAAGACTTCCTCAAGAACTGCACCATCAAACCCTTGCTATACTTAAGCTACATCGATGACATCTTCATCATTTGGACTGAGAACCTGCAATCTCTGATTGAGTTCCATCAGAAATTCAACAGTCACCATCCCTCCATCCGACTTTCTTTAGAATACTCCAGCACCAACATCCCCTTTTTAGACACAATGATCAGTATCCAGAAGGGTAAAATACAGACCACAGTATACAAGAAACCCACAGACCAACATACATATCTGCACAGAACCAGCAATCACCCGAAACACACCAAAAAAGCAGTGATATACAGCCAAGCCCTCAGATACCACCACATCTGTACTGAAGAGAACACCCGGGATTGCCACCTCACCAATCTTAAAAAGGCTTTCACCCAGCAAGGACACTCCTCCAGAGAGGTAGATCGCAC